GGCGCGGGGGCGGTCGGTGCAGCCCGAGCGGCCGTGCGCCCCGGCGTCTTTGTGCGCGAGCCGGGCTCAGCCCCTCTTCGCATGTCTTTGTGTCTCCCCGCGCTCAGCCCTCCGTGCCGCGCGGGGTGGGTGGCACGCTCTGCGCGCCCGGCGCCCTCGTGCCTGCGGCCCGTCCGCCCTCCGCGCCTCTCCCTGCGGGCTCGCGCTTCTCGCCTCTCCGCCGGCTGCCTTCCCTCCTTTCAGAACCCCCGCCCCACGCCGCCTCCCCACGGCCCGCCGCGCCGCCTGGCTCGCCTCTCCGCACCCCTTCTGGCCCAGCCTTCGCCTGCGTCCCCCAAAGTTCCTCTCTGTCCGCCTCCCCCGAGAAGCACAGCCCTTTGGGGCTCACCTGCTGCCGCTCTTCCTCTCTCAGCCCTCCACCCCCACCACCCCCACCACCATCCCCGCGTATCCTCACCCTCTCTATCCGACGTGCCTATGGCACAGAGCTCCATCCCTGTCCTGCCTGGTGGACCTGCGGGGTGTGGAACCCAGCGCTGGGGCGCGGGTCCTGGACCCCTGCACTTGGGCGTCCTTCCCTCCCTCGTGACCCTCCCCACCCAGGGTTGTAGAGGGAAATGCCCGCATTGCTGCAGTGACCCCTGGGGAGGTAAGGAGAACGCTGGCTTCTACAAGTCTACGCCTGGGGACAGGTTATGGAGTCACCAACAACCCCCACGCCACTGCCAGGGGTGCTTGACCTGGGCGGGGAGCTCTGGTCAGCCAAATGTCTCACACCAGAAGGATCGGGAGCGCCCACGGAGCCATGGTGAGGACATCAAGGGATGCAGAGGGACTGAAAGAAAAACCGGCTGGGCTCTCTGGGCAAGCCCCGCTTCGTTGGCACAAAAGTTGCAAAGTGTTCTTGGTGGAAGCAGTGGGGTGGAAGAACTGGGACCTCAGTCTGAACTTGGCGCTCTGCCCCTGTTCCCTCTTCCGCACCATCTAGATCCCCTCTTGGCAGATACCTGATCGGCCCAAGCCCTAAGACCGCGTTGCCATGACAGCGTGAAGAGAAGGAGGAGGGGAAGAAAGCATGTAGATTAGAAGCTGCTGTTGTAATAGGCAGGTCCTCTCAGGACACACTGGAGGTGTCAGAACTTCAGTCCCTTCTCCCAGAGTAAACTTTTTCTTCCTTCCCTCTTTCGCAGCAGGACCGCCCTGCCGACCTCCACCCTCCCAGCCCACCACTGTTTGAGAGAGCTGGGCTTCCATAACTGCTGCTTGGCCAAACTGGAGTATTTTTCCAGTTAGGAAGAGAACTTCCTAGTGAAAGCTATAGACGTCAGAACCTAAGGAGATAACTTACAGCAGAAAGTCTCCTGATCCTAAAAACAACGTTGTAAACCTTTCACAAGACAGCGACCATCAATGATAAAGGTACCAAATTATTTTTTTAAATTTCAGAGTAGATTGGGCACCTCTTTCGCCTATTAAAAATATCTTCCTAATATCCTCCCAGCTGTAATTTAAACACATTTTCCTCGACTTCTGTTCTCAACAATAGTATAGTTGGATAATCTTTCTAAAATATGAATCTGATCCTCTCACTCCCCATCTTAACTCCTTTCCAAACACCCTGATTATTAGCCGCCGTCACCCCGCCCTGTCTCATCCCCGTGATCTGTTGGGAATCTGTCCACTGTGATCCATAGAGATTTCCTGGGCTGGTCCAGAAGCAGATTGCCAGCCTTTCTTCCTAGTCCCAATACACAAGTCAGACTCCACCACTGCCCCCTCCAAACTCTTTAGGTCACATACAATGTGCTTGATGGCCTGGCCTCTCTGTTTCATTCCAGGACGTCCTGGGTGCTATCACTTTCCCTCACACACCTTCCCCCAACCCTCCATCAACTTTACCTGGCTGAGGCAGTGCATCAGTCAGGGTTCTCTAGAGAAAGAGAACCAATTATACATCAAGAGATTTATTTTAATGACTTGGCTTTATCCATTGTGGGGGCTGGCAAGTCCAAAATCCCTAAGACAGGCCAGCAGGCTGGAAACTCAGGCAAGAGTTAAAAGCTGATGATCTAGTCTAGAGACAAAAAGGGGAGTTGGGAAATCCTTCTCAGAAGCCTACTGAGAAGACCCGTCCTATGTCTCATTGGCAAGAACTGGGTCACATGTTGTTGTTAGGGGCCATCGAGTCAGTTCCGATCAGGAATTCCATTCTTCTGAATGTTATCCATAATTTGTCATGATCCACACAGTCAAATGCCTTTTTGCGTAGTTAATAAAACACAGGTAAACATCTCTCTGGTATTATCAGAAATCTTTCAGCCAAGATCAAGCTGATATCAGCAATGATATCCCTCGTTCCACATCGTCTTCTGAAACTGGCTTGCATTTCTGGCAGTTCCCTGTTGACATACTGCTGCAGCCGTTTTTGAATTATCTTCAGCAAAATTTACTTGCCTGTGATATTAACGATATTGATAATTTCCACATTCTGTTGGATCACCTTTCTTTGGAATGGGTACACATATTAATCTCTTCCAGTCGGTTGGCCAGGTAGCTGTCTTCCAAATTTCTTAGCATAAATTAGTGAGCACTTACAGCATTGCATCTGTTTGTTGAAACATCTCAACTGGTATTCCATCAATTCCTGGAGCCTTGTTTTTCACCAATGTCTTCAATACAGCTTGGACTTCTTCCTTCAATACTATTGGTTCTTGATCATATGCTACCTCCTGAAATGTTTGAACACCGACCAATTCTTTTTGGTACAGTGACTCTGTATTCCTTCCATCTTCTTTTGATGCTTCCCGTGTCATTCAATATTTTGCCCATAGAATTCTTCGATATTGCAACTCAAGGCTGAATTTCTTCAGCTTCAGCTTGAACTTGCATATGAGCAATTGATGGTCTGTTCCATAGTTGGCCCCTGGCCTTGTTCTGACTGATGATATTGAGCTTCTCTATCGTCTCTTTCCACAGGTGTAGTCGATTTGATTCCTGTGTATACCATCCAGCAAGGCCCACATGTATAGTTATCATTTATGTTGTTGAAAAAAGATATTTGCAATGAAGAAGTCATTGGTCTTGCAGAATTCTTTCGTGAGATGTCTGGCATCATTTCTATCACCAAGGTCATATTTTCCAACTACCAATCCTTCTTCCTTGTTTCCAATTTTCTCATTCCAATCACCAGTAATTATCAATGCATCCTGACTGCATGCCTGATCAATTTCAGGCTGCAGAAGTTGGTAAAAATCTTCAATTTCCTCATCTTTGGCCTTTGTGGTTGGTATGTAAATTTGAATAATAGTCGTATTAACTGGTCTTCCTTGTAGGTGTATGGATAGTCTCCTGTCACTGACAGCATTGTACTTCAGGATAGATCTTGAAATGTTCTTTTGACGATGAATGCAATGCCATTCCTTTTCAATTCATCATTGCCGGTATAGTAGACCATATGATTGTCCGATTCAAAATGGCCAATACCAGTCCATTTCAGCTCACTAATGTTTAGGATATCAATGTTTATGCATTCCATTTCATTTCTGACGATTTCCAATTTTCCTAGATTCATAGTTTGTACATTCCATGCTCCAATTATTAGTGAATGTTTGCAGCTCTTTCTTCTCACTTTGAGTCATACCACATCAGCAAATGAAGGTCCAAAAAGCTTGACTCCATCCATATCATTAGGGTCGACTCTACTTTGAGGAGCTAAGGAGCTACTTAAAGGAGCTACTTATAAGTCATGTAAGTCCCATCAAAGCATAATAGAAGGATTAGGTTGAGTTTGTTTCTTTCATGTTGCATGCCTGCTCAACACCCCATAACTTTATTTTAGTGGGTAGGAAAATCTGAAATATACAGTAAAAAGATTTAGCTCCCTCAAATTCTATAATGCTTTCTTTCTCATGGCTTCAGAGCTATTTTTCTACTCCAATAACAGCATGAAATATATGGGGCTTCACTTTTGTTTGTTTTGCTTTTTGACCTTGGCCTACTCAAAATGCCACAGTAAAAAATGAGCACGTCACTGTCTTTTCCCATAATTCCAGTAAGACCTGGAATTTTGGCATCAAAGAGACCGCTGTGAGTATCTTATCTCCACCATTTCTGAACCTTGTGTTTGTGGAGTCGCTTTATGTCTCTAGCCATGTGTTTCCTCATCTACAAAGTAGGGGTAATCCACCAAACTCACAGGAGATTGTTGTAAGACTCAAAGTGAGAGAACATAGATGTGTTCAACATTGTAGGTCCTTCAAATAATTTTGTTCTCTCCTGGGCTTCCTTTCACCTGCTCCTATGAGCCAGGGGGCTCCTGACCAAACCAGACCACCCAAAACGTTCAACTCTAGTGAATTTTGACGTCTGTTTGATCATCTGAGCGATATAAGGGCATGATATAAGAAGAGAAAGAACGAATTACATTCACTGAATATTTAGTGAGCGCCTACTAGATGCCAAACACATGATCTGTGGATATAGCAAAGTTACCGTCTTCATGAAGAGGAAGGTGTTTAACAAATATAAAATTAAAATTCTGATAAATGCCATAAAGAGAAGGTACTGGTTACTATGAGAGTATTTAATGCTGGAGGGTCAGAGAACCTGTTGCCGTTGAGTTGATTCCGATTCATAGCGACCCCATAGGACACAGTAGAACTGCCCCATGGGGTTTCCAAGGAGTAGCTGGTGGATTCAAACTGCCGACCTTTCAGTTAACAGCCTTAGCTCTTAAACACTGTGCCGCCAGGGCTCTCCTGGAGAGTCGAGGAAGGCCTGT